CTGGATTAAGTCAAGAGAAGGAAAGGGAACATGATGGGGAGAAGTATGGACCAGACATGAAATCACTTTCAGCAGCTCTAAATGGAAAAACACTTGCAGGACTGGATTTGCTTAGCTGAGCAAAAAGAATAGTGAGGAGGGACTCCACTGTAAAGGATCAAACACTGGGAGACTTTTTATTACAATTGAGAAAAACATAACAAGAACAAATGGCTATCAGTGAGAACCAGACAAATTTAAGCTAGAAATAAACCATAACTTTAATGGCTAGAAAGATAATATAAAGAAAACATTTAACATCAGAACAAACAGTTAAATAAGGCTGGGGTTTTCCTTTATGTTTATTTTATTTTGAGGCATGTGCTTTGCTCAGACTGAGTTTAAAGTAAATGTAGTGAGATTTTGTGTACTTTATATATTCACTTTAAGATGACTGGCTTGCTTTAAAGAGAGTCAGAACTCTGTCTATGTGAGGATGCTTGAAGGAGAACATATCTATCTGTGAGAAATTAACCCAGAGGGGCTCCTTGGCAGGTAATATGCACCTGAAAGAGGTAAACTGAAGTCTTTACAGAGTAGGATTTTCAGCAGAACTTCCTAGAAAACAAGGCATTCCGGATGGCTGCAGGAAATGTAGGAGGCAAAGCTCTTTGGGCAGCCTGTGAAGGAGCCAGTACGGCGTGGAAAGGTCCTTCTGGCTCTGGGAAGGCATCAGGGATGGGCATTTCCCCTCCAACAAAAGAACTAGATTAAGAAGTTACTGGTACACTTCGGGTATGCACTTCTGCATGGGATTTTGAGAACTCCAGCTTCAAACCTTGTTAATGAAGATCCCCACAAGTCAGTGCTGTTGAACGAGTCAGGCTTTTATGAAGTTTGTATGATCTACCAAGAGAAATAACTATCTAAAATACTGTATCATACACTGCTTGACCATGGGGATAGCATGAGTATAGATGAAGTTATTTCTTTGACCATCTTTTAGATTCAATAGGATGGTTGGGTTGCTTTGAGCTTGGATGTCTGTGAATGTGTTGGACGTTGGACATTTTTTAATTGTAAATTTAGATGGTTGTTTGGTTAAAGTTTAAGACATCAATATTTTCTATTGCATATATATGCAAATAACTGATAGTACAAATATTTCAGTGTTAATGTAAGGAAGCAACTGAGCACACATGCTTTTGTACATGCAGGATATGGAAGTAATGAAAGAAAATTTACTTTAATGAAAACTAGGCTATTGATAGCCAGAATTAATCTTCAATGTTAATATATGCATTTTAGATATGCATATCCTTTGTTAAAGTCTATAGCCAATGAATGATTGCAGTACTGTTTTGTAAATAGGCTTCTATGAAGGAAAAAACCCTCCAGGTCTTCTGAAGTACTGTCACTGATACCAATGCCCTGTGTTTAAACTGCTAATTATATCTACTTATGTACAATGAAAATCTATTCTGAGGAATATTAAATAAGGCAGTGGAAATGAGTGTTTAGGATGTAAAGTTGCTCATAGGGATGCATGTTCAGTCATTCTCCAAACGTTTTCCATTAGTTATAGTTAAGTCCTGTACAGGATCGATTTGTGGTGGTTGAATTTTTGTTTGTTCTCCATTGTGGTTAGCTACTTTTGACTTGAGAAGTGAGGATCTTTGTTGCAAATGGAATAAAAGTAGCCCTCTCGAGATCCTTCGTGCTTTTCTTTCTACCACTAGATGGTAGTGTGTGTTTGAAACAGTTGAGTGGCGCTGCCTAGTGTGCCTTAAGCTATTTACCCGAGGAATCTTTCTCCCCTGCGTGTAAATAAATCATTATCGTTAATCATTGTCACTTACATTAAAAGATACACTCTGTCTACAGAGTTGAACATCAGGGTGAAGATCTATTTTTGTCTTATTTTACCAACTTCTCCAGTCAAAAGTTTACCTTACATTACCTTCCTAGGTAACAAAAAAGAAAGGCTGAATCAGTCATTAAAACCTGAGATGAGTGAGATTAAGGTTTAATTTTTCTTCTGAAGTCTACGATTGAATTTAGCTGTAGAAAGTTGCAGCTTGCTTATATATGTGACTTTTCTTTGAAGGTAGCACTTGTCTGATTTTTTGTGAAAGCTGGTGTGAGAACATACTGTCTTAATGTCACTTAGCACAACTGATCATGAAAATATCCTGTACCTAAGATGACAGCTTATCTCTCTGAAAAGGCTTAAATGATTAGAGAGGCTGAAGAAACTTCTAACAGGAGGGAGAAGGCAAACTACTATCTGTTCACATGGTATTTTTCTTCTTGTTGTACCCTGCAAGATCTCATTAAAATTGACTAAAACCAGTAATCCATCGGTTCAAAGTCTTTGATCTGTTGGAAAAAAAAGGTCAGCAGTGCTTAAGTGAAGACAGGGTAACAATTGTATGTCAAGGAGTGAGGCTGCTGCCTCTGCTGTAAACTTTGCACAGTGCAAAAACCAATAGGTGTTACAGCATTAAAACCTGTTAAAAATTAGTTTTACACCTGGCTCAGTTTTTCATGTTCCTGTATTTTGGAAGAAAATATCTGTAAGAGTATTTTACTTCAAACACTATTGAAAATATTTTCTGTGTCAGAACAAATGACCTACCATAGCCTGCATCAGTATGTCTATAGAATGTTTGCAAAATGCAACCTTGTATTTGACACAGTAATGTTTTCCAAGTACACACTAACATGTGTTATCTACAAACATGACAGTTAAAAAATGGACACCGAGAATACCAGACATTATGAAATGGAAGAATTTTTTCAGTATCTGGATAGATGGCACCTGATGACAAGATCACTCTGTGATGAAATGTTGCTTTCTAAGTAAGCCCTGGGACTCTCAGCTATAATATAAATGCCAACTGTCCCCTCATTCATGTCTCTGGGAAGTTTCTTGTAACTGGAAATGAGAATAGTATTAGCACCTCAGACTTTCTCATAAGAAGGAACTCCTGTATTTTGCTACCAGTTCTTCATAGCAACTCAAGTACATTTTGCTAGTACCTATGTTTCTGGTATCAAACTGATGGTTCCTTCCACTTTTCAGACCTCATTCATTCTTATGTAGCCCTGCAGTGGTACATAAGAAAGGATGGTTAGTGCTTTGCCAACTACTACTGCCCAGCATCCTCTCATTCCTTACTGCCTTCTACTACTCTGTATTATCCTTGTACTAGTATAGGATGTCTGAGGTAGATGTGTGGATGTTACAAAAACCTACGACCTCTCAAGCTCACTTTTGGGCCTTCTCACAGAAAGTGATGCTATGTATTAGTATGTAAGGAAAGCGTCTAGGTTAGTTAGGTCAGACTAACCAGCTAAGCTCATTAGGTACACTATTTTTCTGTGTCGGAATGCCTGACACAAGCAGCTCCTTGAGTATAGCCAGAAAAAGTGCATTTGTCCTTCATGGCCTTACTGAAAGGTTACAGAAAACATCTCCTTCATGCCCAAAGTAAGGAGGAAAGGACACAGACATGGCATTACGTGGAATCTTTTACAAGTCTTAAGTCACAACACTTTTGGTCTTGGCCAGCAACAGGATACTTCTGAAAAAAATCCAAAGAAAGGGTGAAGATCAGCTGCATCAACTGCCAGCAAGAGGAGATGCCGCTGTCCACTGTTACCGCTGTATTTTCCTTCTTCTAAGCTTCCCTTTGTTGTCTGTTCAGCCAGCTGCTTGCAGAACATGAAGGGCTGTTTGTCCTTTCTTTAAGGCAGGTAAGAGAACCAAGGTGTACATAATGGTGGCATTTGACTGATTTACAAGTGTTTGAGTAAGTTTTTTTTTTATTCATCTGCTTATTGCAAAATATTCCTTATCAAGACGTGTTGTTCTGTGCTCCAGCCGTGATGCAAAACATAGCTGTGTGGCTGCAGCAGGCCCTGGACAGTCACCGTGCCCCTGGGTGGCTGCCACTGACCCAGGCCGCGCGGCCGCGTTCGCAGGCTTGCGCCCAGGCTCAGCTCCCTCAGGTACGGGCAAGTTGACCGCTACCCTCACTCAAGATGGCGGAAGCAGCGTCTAGCTGGGACAGGCCACCTGTTGCTGCGGCGGCAGCAGCTTCCTATTGGCTCACAAGGAGCCGTGCACTCTGCGCCCGGGGGGGGGCGTGGGGCGTGTGTGTGTCACGAAGGCGCCGGTTGAACGGGCGCGGGGGTTAAGTGAAACGGCAGGGGCGCGGGCGGGGGCTGTAAGTTTTGTGCGCGCTCCAAGGCGCGGCGAGGCAGCGGGACGCAAGCCGTCGCTGCGAGGCGTTGGTGGTGCCGGCGGCCGCCAGACTCCGCCCCGCGGGGGCTCCGCTCGCCCCCGGCCATGGAGAGCGGCGGCAGCGGCGGGAGGGGCCCGGTGGGGCAGGAGGAGCCGCCGCCGGCTCTGCTCCAGCCGGCGCTGCCGTCGGCCGGGGAAGCCGGGGAGGAAGAGGAGGAGGACGACGAGGAGACGGCGGCGGCGCTGCTGCTGCGGCCCCCCCCCGAGGCCCAGGCGGACTGGATCTTCATTGACGGCGAGATGGAGGAGGTGGCGCTGCAGGACCTGCCCACCGCCACCATCGCCTGCAACCTGGATCCGCGCGTCTTCCAGGATGGACCGTGCCGGGTGAGCGCGGCGGGCAGGCCCGCCCTACGCCGGGGACCGCGAGCGGGGCGGGCCGGCTCCCTCTGCTGGCTAGCATCAGCCGCCGCGCGATGCGGCTCGGCTCGGCTCGGCTCGGCTCGGCCAGCTTCTCTTCGCCCGGGCCGCTACTTGTGCGGGCAGCGGCGGCCTGTGGCGGGCGCTGTGGACCGGCGGCGGGAAGGAGGGTGAGAGGCAGAAGGAGGGCCGCCTCCGCCCGGTCTCGGCGGGCACCTTAGTCGCCGTGGCCACCCTCTCCGTCAGGAAGTGTGTGTGGGGAAGCGAGGCTGTGTCTCTGCGTCTCCGCCCTCACTCCGGACGCGGAGCGAGTGTGTGGAGGCGCTGCGGTTCTAGCCCGGCCGGCCGGCCCCTCCACCGGCATCCCGTATAAAGTCTTCTCCCGGGTCTCTGTCCTCGGGTCTGATCCAGAGGCTTAGTCCGGCGGATCCACTGACCTGAACCCGTAGGTCAGAGTAGAGAGGGGCATAGACGAGGAGGGAAATAACCCCTGCCTGCGACCACAGTTGAGAGCCTTGCGTTTATGGGTCAGCGAGGACGTGTGGTTTATTGATGCATCCGAAGGCGTTTGAGCTACGAGGCATAAGGCAGCGTTTGGAGACACGGGAGGCTGGCAGGCAGGTAGTTGGTCGCAGGGGTCCAAGTAGACGCAGAAGCCGCCGGCCTACAGGCAGAGGGAGTTGTTGGGTAGCACACACAGGTCTCTAGCGTTTGCCTGCCTTGAGGACCACTATGTTTAAAAGGCAATCAAAATTACGAACCGTCATTCTAGAGGAGAGAATGGTAACAGCAGCTGTCATAGGAGTACCGTAAACTGCCTGAAGTAAGCCACAGCTCTAGGTTTTAGAAGTAGATATAAATATTTCAGAATTGCTTCTCCTGTTGTCTGTGGCCTTCTTGAGGAAGAATCATCAAATCACTTTTCTATTTTCATCCTTCTTTCATTTTTCCAAGCCCTAGCAAGAATTAAAGAATGAATGAAGCTGATTTCCCCCCCCCCCCTTTTTTTTTTATAGTTAGTTTTGCTATCAAGCTCTTATTTTCTAGTGACTTGGGTGCTGATGGAGATACTTGGTTTTTAAACAGATTGAAATTAAATGAAAAGGGCTTGAAAAATTAGTCGGTAATTGTACTGTATTAAAATCCTATTGAAGTAATAGACTGTCTCTGTGTGAGAAACAACTTGAGTTGTAGTAGTAGTCCAACAGCTCAACCCTGCTAACAGTTATAATGCATTAAAAATGAGCTGAAAATAGGAGATGCAGCTATGTTGTGTTCCAGTTACTTTCTAAGGTTATGTAACTTTCAGTGGCAATACACTTCATATTGCTTCGAGCACCTGGAGGTGTGGTGGGAATGGCACCTTTCTTGGGATTTACCCTATGTATTTTCATCCAAGTTCTCTCCAGGTGTGCTTAGGAAAGCGCATATAATCACTTCTGTGTGGTGTCATCAGTTGCGTGTACTAATAATATTTTCTCAAATAAGTTTTTGTGACCATGAAGTACATGTTTTAAAACAGTAGTTAGGTGGATGACAAAGGTAGATGCATAACCCCATGCAAGACCCAGAGGTAGCTGAACCATTTCTGTCTTTGTTTCGATGCCAAAGAATCTCTCCAGACATTTAATTTTGTTCAAAGTCTTATATATCCTTAACACCAGAATAAAAATTTTTTTTAACTAATTCTTTATTTTCCTTGCCAGGAGCTGCCGCAGGGAAAAATGCAGATTACTTAAAATAGTAGCAAATTAATTCGAGGTTAATCATCTCGGCATAAACTGTGTTATCTTAACCATGGATGAAAGCATGCACTGTTACTGCAGCATAGCTGGGGCTTTTAAAATTTAAATTCCTAAGGCAAAGAATGGAAGAATTATCTTGAAATTGAATAAATACTTATATCCATGAGGGAAGAAAAGTTTTTCTTAAGTTTTATAAAAAAAATACCCAGAAATATTGAGGTGCTTGGACTTGGTGTTTTATAGATGTGGTAGGTATACATAGACTTTTAATAGATTGAAAATATAGCCCAAGTTTTTGCTAACTGAATCGCAACCGCTGAAAAATATAATTTAGCTTCAGTTAATATGGTTATGAAGATGTCAAAAGCTAACTCTTTGGAAATGTGTGACTGCTGTGGAAGAAAACGGCAAATTCATGGATGGATATGTTTAATGTGTTCTGTTGGCTAAATATCAGGCAGTTGCAAAGAGAGAAAAGGTAGTATGAGGCACTAAGGCTGGAACGTATACAGAAAAATCAAACTTGCCCTTACCAGTGTAAGCAAATGATTGTGTGGAACTTTGTGATAATAAAGGAACAAGTAAAGGTATTGTAAAATAAAAGATAACCAGACATAGTGTTTTATAAATATTCTGTGAATTCTGATATGTGCAGTGTGTTTTCTTCTGTTTTGTGAACTTCTTACTTTTTCCAGTGTATGTAATACTCTTAAAATACCTTGTCTATATAGTTAATGTTTGTTGGTTGTTTTTTTTTTTTTCCTTCAGTAAGCCCCTTAGTAATCCTGGATTGCCCTATTTGAGGAGGGTTGATCCAATCAAAGGTGAGATAGGACAGCTAGATGATGGCTGACAGCAGCAGTTTCTGGTTTGCCCTCCTCCTTCCCAAACAGTGATTTCAGTGATTGGCACTTGAGATGCTGATTGGATGTTATGATGTTATTGCTCTTCCTTTTTTTTTTCTTTTGAGCTGTTGATGTCACAGTTGACAAATTTTCAGATTTGCGATCAGTCTTTTAAAAGTAGATCATCTGCCAAGTAAGGTAATAGTTCCAGCAAGTTACAGTTTGTTCTCTGTTTTATTCTCATCAGAATGTGACTTGCTTAAATACCTGGCTAGTTTTTCAATGTCAGTTACAAAATCTTCCAGAGAACACCCGAGTACTTACTCTCAAGTTTTTCTGAAGCACAGTTGGAAGAATACAGATAGATTCCACATCCCTTTTTGTTTTCACTGGTATAAAAGAAGTTATCTTAAATGAAAACCCTTTATCTGATCCCTAGGTTGGCTAATTACCTTGGAAAAATACTGTTCTGATTTCCTGAAATGTCCTCTGCCTCTAACCCCCAGCTTTTTGATAGTTTTAATGTCAACTCTGTGCTTAAGAGATTTTAAATCTTACAGAAAAGCAGTGTTTCCTCATACAGATGAGTTTGATCTATTGTAAATAAATGCCTGTGAACTCATTTAAAAAAAAAGGAAAAAGTGTCAGTAGCTAATTATCAGAGCCAGCAATTATGCTTTTGCATATTTCAAACCTCCTCAACTGGTGTTCGTTTTTTAAGAGCCTTTTTATGTCATTAGAGGACACTCGGGTTTTTTTATAGACCATGTACTGTCAAGTGGCAAGTCCAGTAGGTAATACACTTGCTTTTGTTTTGTAATCCTGAAGGGATGTGGCATACTTCACTGATGACTTTAAAGTTCTGAGTACAGCCACGGGGGGGGCTAAATAACTTCATTTATGCCCTGGTAGTCTCTTGCTAAGTAGGTTACCTAGGTCTATTCTGACTCTCAGGTTTCCATTTCAGCTTAATTGTAGACAAGTATCACTCATGTAATTTGTGTAGAGTAAAAAGAGGAAGATGAAGAGTATCTAGAAAGAATTCAACTTTAGACTGCTGAGAAAAGAATGAGCTGAAGGATTTTTGTTGAAATAGTTTTCCCTAGAATGGGTTGAGTTCCTTAAATTACTTTAGCAGATGTTTTAAACCTTGCAGGTTACTGCAAACTAATGAATGTGGCAGAGTTTTCCCCTAATTAACAAAACCTTACATTCATAGATAACTCCTGAAAACAGGCTGTTATATCACAGTAATAGTTTCTTGCTGGAGTCTGTTAGGGAAAACTTCGCTGAAAGACGGATTTTTAAATATCTTGACTGCTTTTAAGTGCACCAGCAGTAGGAGTGAGCCAGTCTCCTACAGTAGTCTGTGTCCTGAGGTAACCTCCAATGGCAAGCAAAAGTAGAACTGGCTGTGAAACAGAGTGCGATTATTTATTAACAAAAAAAGGAAGATTACAATTGTATTTGAAGATAGGGTCTAAATAAGGTCAGAAATCTCTCCAGTAGTATAACCAAGAGAAAAGCTGTAATGGCAGGTGTATTGAATCTTGTTAGTGATTATCATAGCTTTAAAGGTAAAGGAAGAGTAGAATTTTACATAGGTTTAGTACAGAAAAACTTGTTGTGAACTGATCTGAAAATGAAGCTGTTGTTAAATGACCCATGCTTTTAGCAATTTTTAATTGACTTAGAGCCTATTGGACTAATAATGAGGTGCTGAATGTATTTTGGATTTTTCAGATCCTTAGAGATTTCTTCTGCTTTACCGGAAGCTTGTCAAATTTCTCAGGAATATTTGCAAAACTTTCTTTACAAAGCAATACATGGGCTTTCTGATAATCTCTTCCTGTCTCAGTCCCATGCCTTGTTAATCCTCTTAGATCACGTTAAAAAAAAATAAATCATTCAAGTAAATGTCAAAAAAATATTTTTATGTGTTTGTATTTTTGTGACCACAGCTCTGTTTCTGTCAAAAAGTTCCTAATGGGGAATGTGAAAATTACTTAGTGGCATCTATACTATTCTGCTTAGATTTTGAAGATTTTCATGATTTCTCTTCCAGTGTTTATCTCAAATAATTTTTTTTTTTTTTTTGGTGACAACGTTCATAGTTCTTTATATCCTATTGCTTTCCAGAAAAGCCCAGGGTTAAGATTGTTGTTCAAAATCATATCCCAATAACCTGTTTTTACACTGAACAGTAAAAGGATTAAGGATCATTTTAAAAAAATGGAGAAAACTTGTATTATGAACATTTTATTAATAAAATTTCTGGAATTATTTAGCTCCTGTACTTTCAGATGATGCAGATTTATTCTGCAGGTATTAACAGGTTAAGGCAGATTTCTGGGTGATTTTAAGCCTGGAAGCCATATAAATATAATGCTATCTCTGGCATAATAATCTTTGATGTTACAGTAGACCATAATACCACGCTAATGCAATTTTATGGCTCCTGGGATGCATCCAGTTTGCCAAGCGCACAAGCAGAGCATGTTCGTATCTCTGCATCTGAGGACAAACACAACTCTTGAGAGTCACTGGGATGCTATGCTTCACCTGCCTTTTTTTAGATTTAAAAAAAAAAAAAAAAAATCTTTTTTGTCTAAAAAGATGGCATATTTTATGACTCATATGAGGCGTTCTAACACTTGATACTGTATCTACATTCTGTATGGAAACCTTAGCAGTAGTCATGGAGAGGTGAAATACGCAGAGAGAGTTCCTCACTTTGAAGACAGAAGCTACACACTTTATACACTCAAAGTGAAGAGGTGCTTGTAGTTTGCTTAGTGACTGTGCTGTCCTCTGGGGCTTTTTTGTCCATTCTTTCTATCCTATGCCTTAATAAGAAAATGGAAATAAATATGAATACCGTTCTACATATTATCAAGTATTAAAGTTCTATTCAATCTCAGTGTGTCTGTTTAGTTTAAGGGTGGTGTCTTCAGTCTTCTTGCTTGAATAGCTGCTTTTGGCCCGTGAACCCAGAGTAGGTTTTCTGGTTGCTCCTTTCCAGGTCTTGTGTGGGATGCTGAGAGGTGATTTGAATAAATTTCAAGTAAATACTTCAACAAAATTCAAATCACAAAGGTATTTGAATAAGTTTAGAGCTGAATACTCTATTTTAAGCTAGCGAAGGATCTAAAGAGACTGTATAGTATAGAAGTTTTTGATCAAGCAGTGCTTGACTGCTTCTTTTCCTATGCTTGGACTTTGAAGCATTGAATAGTGATTTAAATGGCTTCCTTACACTATTGTCCACATCTTAATTATTCTTCTTGTGGAAGTATGGATAATACCATTAAACTGTAGTAGAAAGGCTGATTTCACAAGGGGAGAGAGAATTAATTTAATTTCTGTAGCTCTTTGTTGTGCTCAATGCATTTCAGAGTGCATCATAACCAATTGAGGCCTTGATAAAAAAAGGTGCTAACAGAAAATCCTCATGGTGCAGCTTTGAGTGTACTATTTCACAGTTTAACTCTCTGTAGGTCTCCTAGGTCAGGTGAAAATAACAATATATTTATTTCTGTGTCAAAAATCAAATACTATCTAAGTGCTTACAGTGTGCTGATCATTCTGTTCTATGAACATTCTATTCTATGATCATTCTATTTTATTGCAAATACCTTTATTAGTAGAAATAAAATGGAAGTATAGAATATTTATATAACATGCTAAGTCATGCAAATGGCATGAAAGTAAGAGTAAAGTTGAATTTATGATTGTTTAGAAGCAATTTCTGTAATGCTCCACAAGATGGTTGCTGGGCTGCTTAAAAACACTTACAAATAAAAAACATACTGTAAAATTGTCATAGCATAGATGTTTGAGATATTAATAAAAATATTTCCATGTGATCCAATGCTCAAATCATTAGCTCAAAGTAATGAAAAAAGATCATAGGCAAGATATGTGCTACAACAAGATTAAGAGCTTTAATCTTCCTGGAGAATCAAATGGAAACTTGGAAGAACTTTGTCTAGTTTAAATCACTGTGCTCTGGTCACACTAACAAGTATTGTGTACATTAGAATGCTATGGAGTGCATTTCCTTATGATCTTTGCTATCTAATTTATTTATTTTTTTTAATTTTTTTTAGGAATAAATTTAGCTTTGTTCTCTAGGAATACTGGCATATACACACTTGTGTAAAAAGAAATACATGAAAATAACTACAGATTCTTAGATGTGATACTGCCTTAGAACTTATTCCAAACACCTATTGGTAACATAATCAGTAATAAAATGATTAAGACAGTCTTTTCACCAGCAATCATACAGAAAGCTTAATTCTGCAGCAGCTTATTATTAAAACGTGTACAGTTGAGTAAGTAATTTTGGTAAGCCATGTTTATAAACTTGTATTTCTAAGTAATATTGGTCATTAATAAGCAGTATGCTTTTCAGTGTCATAACAATGTCAAAAGAATTGAAAATGTAGAACGAGGAAAGTAATTTAAAAGTGGTAACACAAAGTTCATGTATGGTAAATTAAATAGAAATGGTTTCAGTTTTGTGCCTATATGTGTGAAAATATACTGGAGATCTGGATGTGTGGTTTTGTTGTGTGGTTTTGGTTTGGGTATCAAGTACCCAATTTGGTTTTGTTTTGTTTTGTTTTTTTAATAGTATTCTAACAAAGGTGCACCACCTTCCACAGCTGGTATGCTGGGTACTCTTAACTGGAGTTGGTTTGGATTTTTTCCTCTTGTTCCAAGTATGACCAGGTCCAAAGCATGGTTCTGCACTTCAGATTTTTCATGGAGATGTTTCTCAAGTTAGTGAGGGAAATTAAGCTTTTGTTGCTACTGTTGCTATATCTTCTGATAAATAATCTAACTGCTGTTTTGACACCAAAGTAGCAGGTAAAACAATGTGAAGGAACAGTGGGTGATGCTAGCTAATATTTTCTGTGTACTAATTTATAAAAAAATGTGAAATAATTCAGAAGCCCCAGTATTCACTGAGACTTCAGCTTGGTGAAACAGAAGTCCCACAACCACAACATGAGACTATGGGTGGGTTTTCTTTGTATGTTTGGGGATTTTTTTGTGTTCTGTGGGTGGATTTTTTTGTTGTATGTTTTTTTTTTTCTTCTTTTTTTTTGGCGGGGGGGGGAGTGTTGGGTTTTTCTGTTGTTTGTTTGGCTTTCTTTTTTTTTTTTTTCTCAAGACTTGATACAGCTGCTTATAGAAGTATCTGAGGGGTGGACCCAACTGAGACTCTTGTCAGTGATATAAGGACTTAACTTTGTGAGGAGAGGTTTCTAGACACCTCTGACCTAAAACCAGCTAGGAATGACTTTATAATTGCTTACAGTTTTTTCCATTCAGATAGCCAGAACCTGCTCCTACCTTCAAGGGAAACTGTATTTTTAAGAGTGAAGAGATCATTCATGCATATGAATTGCTGCATGAATTACTGCATGAATACTGTCTGGTATTTATGAAGGATTTTCAGGGTTCTTTTTGTTTCATTGTTTTTTTTTCCTTAAAAAAAGAAAAAAGGAAAGGTCTCTTCCCCTCAAAAGAAAAAAAGAAAAAAAAAACCAAAACAACACCCCCAAAAACAAACCAAAAACAAGCCAACAAAACCCAGTGCCCAATGAAACTTGGTCTCCATCAAGTTCTA